ACATTAAAAAGCTTACCTACCGTGATCAAGTCAGCTTCATCCCTGAGATGCAAGGCTGGTTCAACATATGCAAATCAATGAATGTAATCCATCACATAAACAGAACCAATGACAAAAACCAAATGATTATCTCAACAGATACAGAAAAGGCCTTCAACAAAATTCAACACTCCTTCATGCTAAAAACACTCAATAAACTAGGTATTGATGGAACATATCTCAAAATAATAAGAGCTGTTTATGACAGACCCACAGCAAATATCACACTGAATGGACAAAAGCTGGAAGCATTCCCTTTGAAAACTTGCACAAGACAAGGATGGCTTCTCTCACCACTCCTATTCAACATAGTATTGGAAGTTCTGGTCAGGGCAAAGAGGCAAGAGAAAGAAATAAAGCATATTCAAACAGGAAGAGAGGAAGTCAAGTTGTCTCTGTTTGCAGATGATATGGTTGTATATTTAGAAAACCCCATCGTCTCAGTCCCAAAACTCCTTAAGCTGATAAGCAATTTCAGGAAAGTTGCAGGATACAAAATCAATGTGCCAAAATCACAAGCATTCCTATGTACCAATAATAGACAAACAGAGAGCCAAATTGTGAGTGAACTCCCATTCACAATTGCTACAAAGAGAATAAAATACCTAGGAATACAACTTACAAGGGATGTGAAGGACCTCTTCAACAACTACAAACCACTGCTCAAGGAAATAAGAGAGGACACAAACAAATGGAAAAACATTCCATGCTCATGGATAGGAAGAATCAATATCCTAAAAATGGCCATACTGCCCAAAGTAATTTATAGATTCAATGCTATTTCCATCAAGCTAACATTGACTTTCTTCACAGAATTAGAAAAAACTACTTTAAATTTCACATGAAACCAAAAAAGGGCCCGTATAGCCAAAACAATCCTAAGCAAAAAGAACAAAGCTGGAGGCATCATGCTACCTGACTTCAAAGTATACTACAAGGCTACAGTAACCAAAACAGCATGGTACTTGTGCCAAAACATATATATAGACCAATGGAACAGAACAGAGCCCTCAGAAATAACGCTACACATCTACAACCATCTGATCTTTGACAAACCTGACAAAAGCAAGCAATGGGGAAAGGGTTTCCTATTTAATAAATGGTGCTGGGAAAACACCAGCCATATGCAGAAAACTGAAACTGGACCCCTTCCTTACATCTTATACAAAAATTAATTCAAGATGGTTTAAAGACTTAAATGTAAAACTCAAAACCATAAAAACCCTAGAAGAAAACCCAGGCAATACCATTCAGGACATGGGCATGGACAAATACTTCATGACTAAAATACTAAAAGCAATGTCAACAAAATCCAGAATCGACAAATGGGATCTAATTAAACTAAAGGGCTTCTGTATAGCAAAAGAAACCATTATCAGAGTGAACAGGCAGAATGGGAGAAAATTTTTGCAACCTATCCATTTGACAAAGGGCTAATATCCAGAATCTACAAGGAACTTAAATTTACAAGAATAAAAAACATCAAAAAACGGTTTAACGATATGAATAGACACTTCTTAAAAGAAGACATTTATGTGGCCAAAAAACATAAAAAATATCTCGTCATCACTGGTTGTTAGAGAAATGCAAATCAAAACCACAATAAGGTACCATCTCATGCCAGTTAGAATGGTGATCATTAAAAAGGAAACAACAAATGCTGAAGAGGATGTGGAGAAATAGGAATGCTCTTAACACTGTTGGTGGGAGTGTAATTTAGTTCAATCATTGTAGATTACAGTGTGTCAATTCCTCAAGGATCTGGAACTAGAAATACCATTTGATCCAGCAATCCCCTTACTGGGTATATATCCAAAGTATTATAAATCATTCTACTATAATGACACATGCACTTCTATGTTTATTGCAGCACTATTCACAATAGCAAAGACTTGGAACCAACCCAAATGCCCATCAATGTTAGACTGGATAAAGAAAATGTGGCACATAAACATCATGAAATACTCTTCAGCCATAAAAATGAGTTAATGTCCTTTGCAGGGACATGGATGAAGCTGGAAACCATCATTCTCAGCAAACTAACACAAGAACAAAAAGCCAAACACTGCATGTTCTCACTCATAAGTGGGAGTTGAACAATGAGAACATATGGGCACACGGAGGGGAACGTCACACACTGGGGTCTGTTGGGGGATGGGGCCAAGGGGAGGGATAACATTAGGAGATATACCTAATGTAGATGACGAGTTGATGGGTGCAGCAAACCACCATGGTATATGTATACCTATGTAACAAACCTGCATGTTCTGCACATGTATCCCAGAACTTAAAGTATACATATGAAAAAAGAATGTAAATAAATCATGGAGATTAATGGCAAATACTCAAGATCTGCAAAGGAATTTTGGGGTAGATTTATTCACCACTGTGCCATGCGTGTAATCTGCCTTCGCAAATGGCAACTGAGAAGCATGTAAGCAGACAATGAACTTGATTCAGAGAGAGACAAAAAAATCTTGGGAAGTTTAATTATTGATGTTAGTATCATTTTCTATATGAAAAACGAGGAAGACAAAGACTGACATTTGATGTATCAACATACTCAATCTGGTGGTTAAAAATAAAAAAAAAAGTCCTATTTTACCCCTATATATATATACACACATATACACACATACACAATTACAAACTTTTATAAATTCCCTCACTTGCATAGTTTTTGGACAATTTGAATAATCATTCCACTTCAGCCAATATTACGTTCCTGAAGAAAAATAGATGAAGGGAAAAATAGTTCCAACTTTTACTGAGAGAAAATAAGAGAAAAGATCATACGTTTCTTATTTATCTCTCCTACCCCTGAATTCCTAAGCACTGATGTTGATTATGTACTTGTTAAACCGAATAACAAGAAAATAATAACACTACTAATCAATTCGGAAGAGAAGGTCCTACCAAAATAAAATAGCTAAGTGTTACAACCTTAGAAGAATTAATTTATTGTGGCAGGATAATGAGGACCAAGCAAAATGTTAGATTGGCTCTAGAATTTTAAATTCTAGAGAAGAATAGCTAAACCTGTCTGCAAAATTATGGGAAACATAGAAGGATGTAGTGCCATCGATTTATTTTCATTTCTTTCTAACCACAAAGACAAGATAAGGAAACAAGATGAGGCAGAAATTCTCATTTCTCAGACCTGATCATTAAATTTCTCACAGTACTGAAAATATATGTACATTTTTCTGGAATGTGTTATAATTAAAGTACTATAAATGAAAACACTATTCCAAGAAGTGTCAATTAGTTTGAACTGTGTGATTGAAACTGCTAAGTATTATTTTATAAATATTTTTCCTTCTTACTAAAAAATGAAGCCCCCCCCCCCTTTTTTTTTTTGAGACAAGGTTTGGCTCCATCTCCCAAGCTGGAGTGCACTGGCATGATCTTGGCTAACTGCAACCTCCATCTGCCAGGTTCAAACAACCCTCCCATTTCAGCCTCCCAAGTAGCTGGGACTACAAGCACTCACCACCACACCTGGCTAATTTTTGTATTTTTTATAGATATGGGGTTTTGCTGTGTTGCTCACGTTGGTCTCGAACTTGTGAGTTCAAGTGATCTGCATGCCTTGGCTTTCCAAATTGCTGGAATTACAGGCATAAGCCATCATGTCCAGCAAAGCTCTTAATTTTTAGTTAAGCATAAAGTCATTAAGAATAAAGACTATAATACCCAGCTTTCTTTGCAGCAAAGTTGGGGGTGGACCAAGTTTTGGCTAATGAGATGTAAGCAGAAGTAGTGTGTGTACTTCTGAGGCATATCCTTAAAGGAAAGAAACACTCCTTTTGTTCCTTTTCCACCTCCAAGGTCAGAATATAAAACCAATGGCTGACGCTTCAGCAGACATTTTGAGTCATGTTATGGTCTTGAAAATGGTGGCCACAGAGGATGAAGCAACAAGAGAGGAGTCTCAGTCCTTGTCTCTAGGGAAATCACATCCAGCTCTTTGCTGACTCTCTCTAGAATTTTGAAATAAAAAGAGAAAAATATCTCTTATTGAATCCATTGTCATTTTTCATTTTCTGTCACTTGTAGGTAAGCCTAATCCTAACTAATACAGACTAAGTTGTCTGCCAAAGGAAATTCTATGAGAAGAAATGGATAGATTATTGGTTTCTTCAAACTGTTTCTTAATAACTCTGAAGAGGAAAGGAAGAACATGCCTTACATGGAAAATGATTCAATGTTTTTAGTCAATCAAAGAAACAAGGACCAAATTCTGAGTTAAGAATTGACATTGTTCAAATCCCAGTTAGGTGACTTTCAACTTTGGATTCTTCCTTCCTGTCTCCCTGTCCATTCCCTTTCTTTTTCTTTCTCTTCCTCACCTTCTCTCCATTTCCCTCTCCCTTCCTTTCTACCTTCTATTCTTTTCTTCTTTTTACTTAACTTAGCACTCAAGTTTAAACTACAGTATATTTTGGATTCTTTAAATATTTCAGTTTTTAAAAATGTTTAGCATTTAACATGATTCTTACCCTTTGTATGAATGCAAGTTCAAGAAAGATGATATATTATTTTGCTTGCCACCACATTTTTCTACAAATACTAATATTTAAGAAGCTGTATCCACCTTCAAGAAGTGGCCTTTTTCTTTTAGTCTTCAATAAGAAGCTAAGCTCTTTAAGATGAAAAAGAGACACTACCTATAACTTTAGAATTTTTTGATAATTCCATTTTTTTGCGAATTCTTTATTGCTAAATACATTCTTCTAATAATTAAAACATATCTATTTCTTCTTCTTCTCTCTCTCTCTCTCTTTTTAGAGACAGGCTCTTGCTCTATTGCCTAGGCTGGAGTGTAGTAGTGCACTCACTGCAGCCTCTAATTCCTGGGCTCAAGTAATCTTCCCTCAGTCCCTAAAGTGGCTGGGATCATAGGTACGTGCCACCACACTTGGCTAATTTAAAGTTTTTTTAGGTATTTATTGTTGTTGTTGTTTGTTTGTTTTTGTAGAGATAGGGTCTCACTATTTTGCCCAAGCTGGTCTTGAACTCCTGGCATCAAATAATCTTCTCACCTCAACTTCCCAAAGCTTTGGGATTATAGGCATGGGCCACTGTGTCTGGTCATCTGTTCCCTTTCTAAATTGCTCACTATGTAGTTATATGAGGAGTACTTTCCGCTCTCAGTTCACTTTTGGGCATAATATCCTTAAGTTGTGGGCCTGTTTATCACAAATATTTCAACATGGTTCTTAGAGACTTCAACAGATCTTCTATCAAACAAATGTTACAGATAACTTTTAAATTAGATGGAAGTAAAACCCAGGCATTCAAGTTGCTATAGTTTTAAAAGAACAATTATTTATATTTTTCCTACTTAATTCAGCTATACCTGGAAAGAACGTATCTTGGGCAAAAATGTCAAGTTAGAACATTTGCATTCTAATCAACTATGAAATTTATCCTAGTTACATATTAAAGTGACTCAGAAAGACTAAGCGAGATTTGCTTAAAAAATAATTAGCCAGAATAGACCACATTTGGGGACCCCATTCGTTTTTAAATTAAGTAAGAAATGAAGATTTGTTTATTCTCGGCAAGATTCCTTTTTAATTTGCAAAGATTGAAAAGAGAAATTTTGGTTTTTGCTTCTCAATTTAGAAACGAGTCATGATGGTTTTCCTCAGATTTGCAATGTACATTTTAGCTGGTTTTAATGAAGACAAATTCTTCTCAATCAGAGTTTCCCATTCATTAAGTGAGACAGATGGCAGCCTTGGCATATATTTTGTTAGAGCCAGCCTCTTGAAGCTGGCTGCCTCCCTTATTTCGGTCTATAGGAATAGCAGTGCTTATTTTTCTGAAGGAAAAATCAAAGAAGTCAGTATTTTGCTAGGGCAAATTGTCGAGCTGTCTTCAAAACAAATGAGCCAACCACCTCCCAGATTTGAAGTGGTGAGAAAGTGTATTTTCATTTTTTTTCATTTGAGGGACACGTACCCTTACTTTATGTGGCAGGTGGAAGGCTAAGATACTTGGGGATATACACATTTAGAGATTTTCCTAAGAGATGTTTGAGATTTCTCTGATGTGTGCTGTTCCACACCCCAAGACATTTTGTGTCTTTTGGTAATTCTCTAACCTTCCCTATAACTCCCTTGCTTAGATTTTGCTGGCTTTGAAACATGACCAGAAGCTCAAATAAAGAAAAAGTAAGCTGGAAAGGATCCCAACTTCCTGCGGTGCTGCATGAGGTCAGCAGAAGACACTTAAGAAAGGATGCATCATTCACACAAGATAGAAGGCACAACCTGGGGAAGGGCTGGCCAAGGTTTACAAGACTCAGTGCTAAGGTGGCTCCAGGAGGAAAAACACAGGCTTTAAATGTTCACGTCTCCATTCCAGTCAGCACTAGAGGCTAAAGAGCAGTGGATGTCCTATCTTCAGTTTTGCCAGGGCCACTTCTGAGGAGAGCTATTGAATCTAGAACTACACCATCTCTTAAGATAGTTAAGATTCTGACCAATGAATACAAGCTAAGGGGTGCATTCATTTTCCCTTACTCTGATCAGACACACAATTGCATATGGAGAAGCTGAGGTTTGGCAAGAACACACAGTGCGTGTAGTGACCACGTCTTTGCTGAAAACCCTAATGGATATGCACAATGCAGAGTGTATTCTCTAAGACTGGAGGCAAAAGCAAGAACTGCAAATGCTCATTTCTATGGAACAGTATCTGTGACAGTACTGCATTGGAATTACCCAGATTAATGGATAATTGCCGAGTATTACTGTACAACTCTGCACTTCTATTTTTCCCTTTGTCTTACAGAAGCATAGCCCCCAAAGAGTAGCCAGGAAGATGAGAGGCAGGGAGAAGAAAAGAGAGAAGAGGAGGTGGCAGATCAATCTAACTTGTTTCTGATGAGTGGCAAATATCCAGAATGTTAGGACAATCTTTATGGACTGCTGAGGTTGGGGATTGAAACAGTTATAACTTCATATTTAAGTCAAGAAAGATTAAAAATGAAAACATATATACCATATTAAATAGCTGCCTATATTGCATATTAATAGACAAATCACTAATGTAAGGATTTTCTCCTCAAAGCTGTTTTCTGCACTTAGACAAAGTTCAGATTCTGCAATGCCTACCAGAAGTATGTACAAATTCATGTGAAGATAAAATAGAAACAAAATTTAGTATGGTTCTATTTTGTGAAATGTTAACCATGTTTTACTTGCATGTGTATGTGTGGGCGTAATTAAGTGATAGTTTAAAATATTTCAATACTCACTTTATCCTTCTGTTTTACTGATCCTCTACAGTTTTGATGTTTTATCAGCTTTTTCAATAATTGTAACAATACTAAAAATAATTATTGGCATTAGTTTTGGAATTTGAATATAAAAGTTACTTTTAAATTAAAGCATTTTTTAAGTTTATTTCCAATCATTTAAACTTGGGCAACATTTTCCCAGCTGCTTTTTAAAAAACAGAGTTTGTTGTTTCCGTCGGCTCTTCATAGTGCTTGAGTGGAAAGCAAGAGCTCCAGACAGGGTACAGGGGAGTGTTTTGACATTATTAATAATAATCACCTCCTTTAATTGTGGAGTGCTTCACCGTGTACTGAGATTTTTTTTTTTTTAATTTTCATTAAATTCTCACCTCACCTTTGGGAGGTAGGGATCATAGTTCCATTTTATAGATGAGGAAAACTGTAGTGCAGAGATGTCAAACACTGTCCAAGAACACGGTGGTGGATAGGACCCAAACCCCAACTTTTGCTCCCATGTTCTCTGTTCACTGGCTATGGCTCTTGACACTGTGTACAGATACAGGCTCTGGACAAGTTCACCAAATCCCTTAGGCTTCAGCCCCCTCATCTGCAGAATAGTGGCTTAGATTCCACCATCTTCAAAGTCCCTGCCAGCTTTTCTTTATTTGACTTTGTATGTATTAAGTAGAATAAAAAGTGATGGGAGTTTGTGGGTACCAGTGGATTAAAGGGGTATAATCTGGAGGCTAGTGAGTAAATTAGGTCTCCAAATGGCTCACCATGGTTGTGATGAGCTTGGAGGAATGAAGGCAAATTTTGTCACATTAAACTCTGATTCTTAACAGAGTCTCATGAAACCTACAGGCTCCAAAAGAAGAGCAAGAAGAAAAGAAGACTTTTACACACATACAAACATTTGTAACAGTTTTAGGTGGTTAATAGACTGACTTCTTAGAGATGCACGGGCTGAGTTAACAACCACATATTCGCAGCTTTCTGGCCTACAGGGAGCTTCACTGTGGTTGTCACACGAAGTGAGCAAAACTTATTTTCATATAAAAAATAGTGATTGAGAAGTGTGGGCAAAAGTGATGTGAAAAGAGTATATATTTTATATTTAGAAGAGATCAAATTATCAGTGATGATGAAAATTAGTACAGTGGTTGTCTGTGAGAATGTAGGCATTGCCTGAAAGAGGGCATAAGGAAATTTTCTAAAGTGACGGAAATGTTCTGCGTTTTGATTGAGGCCTTGGTTACATGGATATGTACATTTTTCAAAACTAATCAAATCATACCATTAATAATTGTGCATTTTACCATATGTAAATTTTGTGCCAGTTAAAAAAACACAACTGTGATGCATTTTCAAGACACTCTTTTTTTCCCACCGATAATTGCTTCCCATATCATTTTCTTGGTTTTTGGGAAGGGGTAGGAGAAAGAAAAGCTGATGTTGCTAAAACGTGAATTCTCCTTTAGAAGCATTTATAAAGAATACCACAGTAGTTTCATGCTTCTTTTGAATATCCTAAGAGCAAAGTTCCTGACTGCAGGTCTATGTTTGTGATTTCTGTCCCCCAAGCTGTATGAGCTGTATGTTTAGGACTGACAGCAGTGTCAGGAATGGAATAATGACCAGAAAATATGGACCTCAGAGATACCCATATTCCCTCCAAAGGGGAAAGGGGCTCTGCTAATCCTTTATTCTTCCATGTGCCCACAGTATGTATATATATGTGTGTGTGTATACATCAGGAAAAACAAGATATGCACAAGTCTGAAAATTTAGATTGCCATAATATTGTTCTGGGTTTTAAGACGTCAAGAACAAAGGACTCCATGTTTTGTTTTATGGCATTGAAAAAATTACCCATATTCAATTCAAAAGCTGAATCCATTATTTGTACCCATTTATCAGCTGTCACAGGGTCTACCTTGGTGGCTGATAACCAAAGGTAATGTCTGCTAAAACAAATTCATCAGGCCTGCAATAACTTCAACAGTCAGCAGTGCTGACTTAATATCTCCACAGCACACACTGAGATTTCTCTTAGAATTGACTGTAGAAGGTTTTCACAGATTTGATTTTTCATTTTGCATGCCTCACATTAAATATTGTTAAAAATGTAAAACCAAATTCTGTTTTTTCTTTTTTCTTTTCTTTTTTTTTTTTTTTTTTTTTTTTTTTTTTTTTTTTTTACAATTTACAAGTGTTCATATAAGAAGGAAACGACTAAAAAATTACCCACCGAAGCACCTAGAACTCATCTAGAGAACAATGCTAATAATACAAAGGCTGTGACCAAAAAACTCCATGATTCGTGGGAAAGCCAGGAAGCACAGTCCAGCCTCTGGAAGGAATGTGAGGCGGGTCGGATCCACCGAGGTGCGCAGTCAATGGTCCTTTGCTCCCTAAGTCAAGTTCAGCAGCCGCATTTCTGGTTCAATGTCATTACTTATTTCGACCTGAAACAGAAAATACGAATTGCTTTCAAGAACTTCAAAGCTGACAGCTCAATATCTTTTATATTCATCCAGGTCTTTTGAAATGCAAAATAGCTCCTGGGTGCACCTGGTGCTGTCTGACTGTAGCAATAAGAAAGTTAGAAACTTGGGCCTTCCGCTTTTCAGATTAGGGCATGGTAATCGGGCGTCATCATCAGAGTGCTGGATGATTTCCTGGGAGAGAAGTGCCAACCACACAGTAATTGTTGTGTGATGTGGAGTAGTCGCTATTGCTTTTCTTAAGAGTAAAGATAACAGGGTAATGTTGTGTCCCCAAACTATGAGATATTTGCATAGCCTGTTCTTTCTACAGTATGCTGGTGGTTAAGTGCTCAAGATCATCCTGCTCTTGCTTTCATGACACCCAACCAATGACTCATGTTTCTTACACACATCCCATCCTGTGATGGCTCCTTTTATGTGTCAGCATGGCCAGGCCATGTTGTCCAGATGTTTGGTAAAACTTCAGTTTACCTCTCAGTGTAAAGGTTTATTTTTTATTTTTTAATTTTTTTTATTTTAAAAAGAGATTAACATGTAAATCAGTAGACTTTGAGTAAAGCAGATAGCCCTCTGTAATGTGGGTGGGCCTCATGTAATCTGTGTAAGGCCTTAAGAGAAAAGACTGAGGTCTCTTGTGGAAGAAGAAAGTCTGCCTCCAGACTGTCTTTGGACTTGAGCTGCATCTCTTCCTTGGGCCTCCAGTCTGCCAGCCCCCAGATGCAGGCATGTGCGGACACACACACACACACACACACACACACACACACAGACACACACTCTACTGGTTCTGTTTCTCTGGAGAACCCTGACTCATACAGATCCCCATCTCCAATCATTGTTGTCTCCACACTTTTGAAAACGACTCTGCTTATTCTATCCTAAGCAGTAAGCCTTTGAAATGTTAGGGCATCATCTTCTGCATCTTTGCACAATGTCAACCTTAACACAGTATCTACTGCGTAGTTGATACTTCATAAACATCTGTTGAACACTTTTGCTCTCACAGTTTCTCTCCTGTGAAAAGTCTTAGCTAATCCAAACCCTACTCACCTTTGAAGGTTTGGCTGAAATTTCTTCTCCACTGCAAAGACTTCCACTTCTCCCTCAGCCATTTTGCTTTCTCATCCTGCTAAGAGCAACTCTCAGGCTATCAGCTCTTCCCTATGTACAGCTAGTGGCATCCAGGCCTCATGATTAATTTCTTCACCCAGGCATGCAAGTTTTCTTCCTTCAACTAAATTGTAAGCATCATTCCAACAGACTGTGTTTCACACTCTCTTCATAACCACATCTAGCAACTCCTTTTCCTCTACTTCAGTTTGATGACGTTATGCGTTGGAGTGAACTCTTCGGTTATAATTTGGAATGGCTGAAAAATTTCCCAACAGTTTTACTTTTTGTTTGCCACTCTTCTCATTGTAGAGCGTGAAGAAAATGACCACAAAATATCCACCCAAGCGCCTAGAACTCCTCTAGAGAACAACTCCCTCCTGCATGCCTCAGGAGTGGGAATCCTCCAGGCCTCTCCCTGTGCCCCATCACATTTCCTCTGCTCATCTATTCTCTACATTCTGAATATCAGTGTCTACCCTTTCTACTCCTTGGCATTTTAACAGGGATTTAAACTAAAAGAGAAAGGGATGGGATTATAATGGTGGAATAGTTTTATGCAATCTTTACATTAGAAGGAATTTTCAGGGTTTATTTTTCCATCCAATACATGAATCTCTTTGAGTGAGGACAAGGCAACAGGAGAAGGTGTTTTTCTTTGTTAGCAGTAATGTCAGTGAGGGTTTGGGGGAACTTCTAGGTACCCATTACATTTATCTTTAACACCAGCTCTGCCTCTGGCTAATATTTTCTGCTTCTGGGCTTTAGCAACATGGATTGGTGAAGCAGTGAAACAGGCTGAGCCTGTTCCTATGATGTCAGGTAGGAATTCTGACAGTGTTACTTCAGGAGCTGGGAAACATGTCTGTGAGGAGTTTTTGCAGAAGACAGTGGGGCAACTCTGAAAGGGGGCATTCAAAGGAAAACCTATTGACAAACCTGTGTTAGGTTTTATTAGCAGACTGACTTTTGAAAAATCAAACAGGGCTGGGCACAGTGGCTCACGCCTGTAACCTCAGCACTTTGGGAGGCCGAGGCTGGTGGATCATCTGAGGTCAGGAGTTTGAGAGCAGCCTGACCAAAATGGTGAAACCTCGTCTCTACTAAAAATACAAAAAATTAGCCAGGTGTGGCAGCAGGGCACCTGTAGTTCCAGCTACTAGAGAGGCTGAGGCAGGAGAATCCCTTGAACCCGGGAGGTGGACGTTGCAGCGAGCTGAGGTCATGCCATTGCACTCCAGCCTGGGCAAAAAGAGTGAAACTCCGTCTCAAAAAAAAAAAAAAAAAAAAAAAGAAAAAGAAAAAAACGTCAGACACAAAAGTAGACAGATTAGTGTTATGAATCTCTATGTTATCACTCAGCTTCAACTAAAATGAAAGTTATGCTATTAAAGTTTCACCTATCAACTAGCACCCCCATGCCTTTTTTGGCTAGAGTATTTAAAATAAAATCTCACCTATTATGTTCTTTCATTCATATCTCTATGCATTTCTAACTCAGTGATTCTTAACCAATCGACACTTGCCAGTATCTGGAGACAGCAATGGTTGTTGCAGTTTGGTAGGGAATGGTGTTAACATGGCATCTAGGAGGTACAGGCCAAGAATGCTGTTAAGTATCCCACAGTGACACAGATCCATTGCAAAGAATTACCTCGTCCAGAGTCAAAAGTGTAGAGGTTGAAATAACCTGCTCAATTGGTAAGAATTTCTTTTCTTCTTTTTACCTATTCATTAGCATACCTATCAAAATTGACAAAAATTTCTTAACATCATTTAATATCCAGCCCATAATCACTTTCCCCAATCATCTAGAAATATCTCATTACAATTGGTTTGTTGAAATTATACCTTATATGTCTGGAAGCATCACTATGAAGTGCATATATTTATAATTTTCACTAATAACAAGGTAAATAAAAAACTGATTCATTAAAAATCTTTCATAAGAATTCAAAGGATACAGAATTTTGTGAAATGTAGTATTTTTACTTAAGTGTCTTTTTCTTCTTTCTATTTCTACCCCCCAGTGTATTATTTTATAAACCAGTTGATACATAAATAGTTTCTTTGGGGATGATAGATTACTTACACATTTTCTATGTAGTAAACATGTATGTGTATGTGTGTGGGTGTGTATCCAACTATTTGTTGGAGTGATTCCTATGATTGAGAACTGCCTGGGCCAAATTTATGCAAAAATCTACATTTTTGTGTAAACTCCCCATGACTAGGGTAACTTGCCTCAAATTCTCAAATGAAGAATTTGAGAATTCTTCATTTCCTAAAGCTGTACAAACATCAGATATCAGTATTTGTAAGCATCGATAATGTAATTTATAATGAAATTCTTTCTCAGCTATTAATGTTAACCATATTATCTTCATATAGCCTTATAACTCGTTTGTGCTATTCCATTTTCCTCTGTTCCTTTTATTTTCACTTCTCTTGTAATGTTAGTCTCTTAGTACTGATTTCTGAAGAGTTCATTTACAATTAAAGATATTAACATTTTGTCAAGAATTGCAAATATGTTTTTTCTCATTCTTTTTACTGTAGTGTTTTATTTTTTGGTTATACAGAAGTTGTATATTGAAATATAATCTAGTTCTGTTTTAAAAAAAGTTTTAAAACCAAGCAAACCACATATACACAATGGTGTTTGACTATTGTGTCTCTTTAAATCAATAACAGTTTCCCTTCCTTTCTTCTTCTCCTTTTTTAAAATTTGCTTTATACTATTTCCCACATGCTAGATTTGGCTGATTGCTTCCTTGTGGTAAGGTTTAATTATTTATATATTTTTATAGTATCAGTCCAAGGTCAGGCTTGACTTTATGGCAAGGCATTTTATAGGTGGTGCTGTGCCTTTCTTATTGTAGCACATCTGGGGACACATGTCTGGTTGTCCCACTTTTTTTTTTTTTTTTTTTGAGATGGAGTGTCACTCTGTCACCTAGGCTGGAGTGCAGTGGCACGATCTTGGCTCACTGAAACCTCTGCCTCCGGGTCCAAGCAGTTCTCCTGCCTCAGCCTCCCGAATAGCTGGGACTACAGTCATGCACCACCACCCCTGGCTAATTTTTTATTTTTTGGTGGAGACAAGGCTTCATCATGTTGCCCAGGCTGGTGTCGAACTCCTGACCTCAAGTGATCTGCCCGCCTCCGCCTCCCAGAGTGCTGGGATTACAGGCGTGAGCCACCACGCCTGGCCTGGTTGTCCTACTTTTAATGATGCTATGATTGATCAATGGGTCTGCATAGAATACTTCAATTTTGGGGATCCATAACATCATTTCCTCTTTCTTTCTCTTTCTCTCTCTCTTTTTGCAGATGTTTGTAGATATGTTAGTAGTTACTTAAGGGTAACTGTCCTCAAGGCAGAATGGACTCGAGTGTTTCTTCTGATAGCACTGTAAATGTTTCTTTTTCTATTGCTTTTCTAATCACTTCTGTGTGTGTGTCCGTGTGTGTGTGTATGCTTTTTTCCTGTGTATTGTGTAATCTTTCCTGTATATTGTTTCTTCCCAGAACTTATCATAATATGGGGATTATAAATTTTTTTGATGTCAATATTAAGTGCAAAATATGTGTATTTAACATAAAATTTGGTTTATATCATTGACTTGAATTTTAAAATCAGAGGACACTTTCTCTTGGAAACAGGGTAAAATGACTTTTTATTTGTGTTGTTGATTTTTTTCAGGGGGTGATGGTGGACTATATCTCCACATCACTGCCTAAGTCTATTTTCTTGCCATTGGCATCAATGGCAAATACCCAGAAAACTTCTGAGAAAGCCAGGAATTGATATTCTCCCTGGAGAACACTATTCAGATATGAGCTTT